GGGGTGGCGGGCTCGAGCCGTGCCAGGGGCAGGGTCTGCTGGCTGGGTGCTGGCAGGCTTGCACCTGTCACGGGCACCGTAGCCAGATCGTGCCCCTTTAAGGGCTCCGGGGCCGGGAGGGGGGCAGAAGAGTTTCCCTGGTGGTACCCAGAGTGGCCACCAGGGCAAGCTGGGGAGGGCTAGCCTCCCACTAGTTCGAATTAAGTGGTACACAGCCCTTAATTCGAACTAGTTAATTTGAACTAGGCGTTAGTCCTCGTACAATGAGGTTTACCTAGTTCGAATTAAGCACACCGCTAGTTCGAATTAAGTTCAAACTAGCGGTTTGCATGTGTAGCGCCTATCAAAGTTAATTCGAACTAATGGCTGTTAGTTCGAATTAACTTTGTAGTGTAGACATACCCTGAGTGATTTGGACTCCTTAGCTGTTTGTTCGTTATAAATGTTTAAAGTATATCTGCATGCTATCCATGTGGTATAAGAGTGTGATATGGAGAGGGTCACCTTCACTGTTGAGGAAGATGTTCCCCTGTGTTGCTTTTCTTCTAGCTCTGATGTTTTACTGTAAGGCCCCTTGAAAGGCCTTGTCAGAGAAAGGTTTAAAGGAAAACAAGGAAGCAACACTGTACTAAAGCACCGTGCAGTTCTCTGTCCTGCTTCCTGTTGGGCATTATTTTTTCCCCTCTGATGTCTTGCAGACGATGCTATTCAAATAAAAATGTTTCTGACCGTTACATCATGCCGGAGGACTTGGTCCAGCCTGGCCGTCTTTGCTGTGTTAGGATTTCTGAGGACAAATGGTGGTATCGGGTCATCGTCCACCGGGTGCTCAGTCAACAGAAGGTGGAGGTGTTCTTCCCAGACTTTGGGAATATGAGGACAGTCCAGAAGTCTTGCCTGAGATTCCTCAAGTAAGTTTATGATGGTGTGCCTAAGTGCTGCCAAATCTTACCTTCTGTCCTGGTGCTCACCCCCCCCCTCCCCCTCCCTGAGGGGAATGAGAGATAAACATGGTCAATAGATTTCAGTGTTGTCTAGGCATGTTGTTTTGAGTTTATATCCCTACTTCACTCCAGAATAAATGAATCGTATATTGGTTTACCCGTAAGCAAAAGCTTACGGTTAATTCTGTAGACTACATGCATTTCTCTCCTCCCCTCCCCCGCCAATACATTTTTTAGCAGGCTGGCCAGCAGCCCGCTCAGGCCAGGTCCGGGACCAACCCCTGCTGTGGCTCTGCATTTAAAGCCCAGCTCATCTGGGTCTGGGAACTCAGACACCCCCTCCCCCCAAAGACAGGGGCTGCTGCCATCCCACACTGCTCCGGACCAGCTTCTGCCTGACACCCCACGCTGCTGCCTCTGATACAGTGGCTGCCAGCCATGCCCTTGGGGACTATAGAGTAGTCAGCTAACCGATAAGAATTCATGCGGTTACTTGACTGTTCAATTAACCAATATTTAACATCCCTAAAGTGAACATAAAACATCCGTTCTTGAGTTGTTGGGAGTGGAGGGAAGAGAGCTTTATTCATCTTCTTTCCCCTCCTCCACATTGTTTGTTCTGTTCTCCTGTCTCATCTGCCTCTGTACATAGGGCCTTTGGGACTGACTTGGCCAAGAGTCCTAACTCTTGGTCTTTGTGTAATGAGTTGCAGGGGTGAGATGCATTTGGCACAGGGCAGTTGTCTGTGCTGTACGTGTATGGTGGTGGTATTTTTGTTTGTTTGTTTGGATGCAGGATGTTGGTTGCCAGGACTGTTGATCTGGCATCTTTCACAAGCATGTAACAAGTTAAAAATACAGTTATGAGATGGCTGTTGGAGTTGAAAATCAAGAGGCTCACAGAAGCGTTTACCATCTGCATATCTAACTCTTGCTATACAATGAAATGATGGATTTGATTCCTGTTGCAGATGCTGCTATTCGAAACTTCCTGCCCAGGCTATCCCTTGTTCTTTGGCGTGGGTAAAGCCCATAAAGGTATATCCACATAGGTGGAAAAACTATGTATATATAAAAGGACTGCAGTAATCGTTGGCCTCTTGCCATTTCGAAATAAACCCAGTAATATTGATGCTGATAATCTCTTAAATTTTCGGCGTACAGCATCCATGGGAGTTTTGTGGCTGTCTGTCAACCTGTCATTCTTTCCTTTCTGAATATTCACCACATGCTTGTTTTCACTCAGTCTGCAAATGGACAGCTCCTGTAGAGGTATTCATTATGCCAGTGAATAAGCTTTCTCTTCTGCCCTGAATCCTCTGTCCCTTCCGGCGTCTCAGGAAATCCAACCTAGTTTTCTCTGCTTTAAATATTCCCATTTTGTGAACAACCCACATAGTCAAAACTTCCTTCAAAAGGGGGAGGGGGGGACTGGTCAGGACCCCCTTTATAATCAGCCTTATAAGAAGATCCTTGTTTTCCTTTCCACTCTGATTAATTGAAAATAGATTAATGGATGTCATCACATTTTTTTCTCAGAACAAAAAGAACCTGTCTGGAATGAGACATATGTAAAAGAAATGTAAAGGGAAGGAAGGCTTTCTAACAGTGCTACATTTGGGTTCTTTTTATTTCCTTCTGTTTCTAAGCCTTTAGATTCATGTTTTCAAGCTTTTCTTAAGAGCTAGAAGTGTTAGAAACTTCTTTTTATAAATGGCAGTAGAAATTAATCACATGAGACTTGAGCAAAGCACCATGTATTTGTAAACTCATGATAAAACTGCAGGATTTGGCCACATAGTTTCAGTCACTGAAAATAAGAGCTTCGAATGAAAGTGGCTCCCCAGTCATAATTTCAGCGCTGGCATCTTCTATGTTTTGAGTAGTTTAACTTGTCAGGTTCAGTTTGGTGCATTTTTACCTGACTGCCACACCCTTATTACGCTTCAGCTAAGCCTTGCCCAGTTATGCCATGAATGGAGCTTGCCTTCCTCCTTTGCAGCCACACCAAACTTTCTAGGAATGTAAATAAGAATAAGCATGGCTGCTGATGGGTTATTTTGTAGTAACCTGTTTATCCCTCTCTCTTCAAGGGGCATTGGACCACCAATGCCATTCTCCAATTCTGGAAACTGTGCAGCTTCAAGCCATTGGTGGGAGTGGTGGATGAATACGTGAATGGAGTTCTTCACCTCTTCCTGTGTGACACAACTTCTGATGAGGATATCTACATCCATCAGGTCTTGAGAACAGAGGGCCATGCCATCATTTGCAGAGAAAATAGTCCCTCTGAGGTGAAGACGGGCAGAGGTGGCAAGTTTGAGCAAGAAGGTTCAAGGAAGGGGTTGTAATATGGTGAAAATTTGGATTATGTGGAAAATTGACTGTTAAAGGAAATTCATCAGGAACTTCCTGTGCACCTTACTTTCCATACAGCTATTTCTACTCATCCCAAGGGGAAAGTCAATTGCTGCAGTGTATTAATGCAGTAGTTCTTTATCTCAAAACTTAAGTTCATGTTTATCTTAGGAAACAAGGTTTTTGCACCTGAGCCCAAGTAGACATTTAAACTTCATCTAACCACCGTTGTATAATGCTGCAAGATGAAAGCACACATGAATCTCTGCTGTGCAGTTTTCAAAAAGCTGCCACGCCTCTGTCAATTGTTAGGATTATTTTGGTTATATTTGCTAACGTAGCTTTAGGAGATTCTTAACCTAGATATTTGCTTATAATTTATTCATCTTGTTTTAATAGAAACTTTTATATAAATATAACAAATTGAGAACTATAGACCTTTTCAACAGCAGCCCAGAACTGGGATACCAGTGGAGACAGGCAGAATTAAGGTACACTGATACAGCTGCCTATGATATATATACTTGCCTTTTCTATGTCTAGCTCTTGCCGGTTCTGTCAATCCATAGTTTAACAGCATAGGATTCATTCAGAAAATTAACTAACAGATAGTTCTACCTCTTTGATGAGGTTTTGTCTTGTTTTAAGTCTTCTTGGAAGTCGTCTTCTTTATTTTTTTGTTATGAAAGAATTCAAACTATCATGCGCTTTTGGAGATTTCCAGAGTAAAAGTACCATCTCAGGTGATTGTGCTTCAAACAATCAGTTAAATACAGCTAACGCAATCCTAAATTACAAGAGGTAATTTTCCAATCTTGTCTGCATGGATCACTGAAATCCATTTACAGCAAACTGAGTTTATACACAGATCTAGATATGAAGATGCTAGTGTGATTTTTTTCCCCCCTCCTGCCCTCCCCATGGTTAGTGTGCAATAGGCTATGCTACAGTTCTACATTAAATGGTTTGTGTTCCTCCAGCACATTATGGCTTAGAAAGGGGCCTATGCTGCTGAAGAGTGCTGTAAACATGTATAATACATTTTAACAAAGACTGGCCGACACCATGCTGTGAATGTGAGAGTCAGCACTTGTACCAAGAGCTATAAACAATTTCACTGTTTCGTGTCGGTGACAGGCAGTAAATCTTGTGGCAAGACGACTTGCCATTTTGGCATGTGCTGTGTCCAGATATCATTTGGTGAGTAGTTTTGTCAGTCTGTAAACTCATTAACTTTCCCCAAAAGGCAAACACTCAAGCTAACCCCCACGCTTTTGGATAGCAGGTTGCTGCAGTTTAAAAACCATTTCAAAATCTTGCTCTAGGTTTTTTTTCTTTTCTTTTTCTGTTAGTACGGTACAGTGTGTTGTATCTTTATTTCTAACAGGGCTTCATACAACTGAACCCTTCAGTCTTGTACCTCCAGCCCAGTTTGAAGCAGGAGAATGATGGATCAGCAGGGCCAGATGTTCCCCCACAGGAACAGGAATCTTTCTGTGAAGTCAGCTGGGCAGTGAAGCCAGAGCTGAAAGAGAGTGAACAACATGCTCAGGTGGGAGGTTTTTAGCTCTTCTTTGTCTAAGGCAAGATGAAAAACAGCTGTTGTGTCATGAGACTCTGGTGGGTTGGTGCACAGACATAAAAAAGCAACCAGGTTCCACAAGCTGTAGCACAAATATCTCTCATCCATACCCTCATCTCTTATTTTCTTGCTTGCTTGTCTGGTCTCTAGAGAGTTCTTGGGTACTTCATACACTCCTAGGTAGAGTCCTCTTTTCTCTCTTGTCGTTTCTACTCTTGGTGTTTGCACATAGACCTTTGCTTGGCTCTTGGTCAGATATTGCATTTTGAAAATCAGCCTTGACTTCAGACTCTTTCCTTTCACATCTCCTGGGCCTTCACTAGTTTTCCACTTATCACTTTAAGAGCAGTTGCCATGGGGAACCATTAATTGCATTCTGGGGAATGTGGCATTCAGCCATCAGAGAAGCACCATACGCCACCCAGTAAATACCCTGGCGTGGCTTATTGCTATTAGGGTTTGGCTCGATCGCCCCCAGTTTGGAAAACAGCCAGTGGGAGCTGCAAGGGCAGTGCTTGTGGGTGCATGTGGAGACCTGCTGCTCCCTTCTCCCCTAGGGACACGCTGGAGGAAGATTTCCTTGCAGATGCTTTCTTCCTTTCTTGGACAGAAGATCTGTATTCATTCCCACCGTTCCCTCTGAGCAACAGGGTCCTGCAGAAGATCAGATGAGATGTGGCCTGAGTGATTCTCATCGAGCCGGTGTGGCTGTCAGCACTAATACAGCACTCTCTAGAGCCTCTTAGTGCGGCTGCCGCAGTCCTGGCCAATCCTCATGGATCTGTTTTTGTCACGGGCTCATGATAGTCTCCTACACCCAGACCTACTGCCACTCTATCTTGCGGCATGGTTGCTGATGGCCGGGAGCAGTACTGTTCGCACAGGGTGAAGTGGGTTCTCTTAGCTGGAAGTCATCCACCAGGACCACCCTATTTGGCAAAATGGACCCAATTTTTGCTCAGAGGGAACAGCCCTATTGTCCTTCTGCAAACTGTCCTTGACTGCTTTCTTCATCTGAAACATTGAGGGTCTTGTACTGACTTCAGTCAGGGTATACCTGGCTGCAATCTCGGCCTTTCATCCACTGATGCAAGGCCATTTGGTGTTTTCATAGGGCATGATAACCTTTCAAGAATACAGATATGAGAGACTCTTCCTATAGATCCCTGCCCCTTTACTTCAGGGGGACCTTAACTTGGTCCTTGCCAGGTTGTCAGGGCCTCTGTTTGAGCCACTGGCCTCCTCTCTGCTAAAGTGGCCTTTTTAGTAATAATTACATCCGCCAGTAATAATTACAGCTGGCCAGATTCCATGCCTTTATGTTAGCACCCCCTTATACAATCTTTTTCAAAGATAAGTTAGAGCCCAGGTCCTACCCAGCATGGTTTCTGCCTTCCACGTGAGTCAGGATATCTTCCTTCCAGTCTTCTATCCCAAGCCACATAAGACCAGTGAGGAAAGGTGCCTACACGTGTTGGATATCAGCAGGGCGCTTCCTTTCTACCTGGCGTAGATGAAGCCCTTTCACAAGTCTTCCCAGCTGTTTGTGGCCTACACCGAGTGTATGAAGGGCCTTTGCATATCCCACTTGGGTATCCTCTGCAGGATTACGTCTTGCAACAAGATGTGCTACAACTTGGCAGGGGTTCCTATTCAGGACATCTGCAAGGCTGCAATGTGATTAGGGGTTTGGAACGTGTCCCATATGAGGAGAGATTAAAGAGTCTGGGATATAAAATCATGAGTGGTGTGGAGAAAGTGAATAAGGAAAAGTTATTTACTTGTTCCCATAATATAAGAACTAGGGGCCACCAAATGAAACTAATGGGCAGCAGGTTTAAAACAAATAAAAGGAAATTCTTCTTTACACAGCTCATAGTTAATCTGTGGAACTCCTTGCCTGAGGAGGATGTGAAGGCTAGGACTATAACAGGGTTTAAAAGAGAACTAGATAAATTCTTGGAGGTTAAGTCCATCAATGGCTATTACCCAGGATGGGTAAGAAATGGTGTCCCTAGCTTCTGTTTCTCAGAGGGTGGAGATGGATTTCAGGAGAGAGATCGCTTAATCCTTGCCTGTTTGGTTCACTCCCTTAAGAGGAACCTGGCATTGGCCACTGTCCTCTACAGGATGCTGGGCTGGATGGACCTTTGGTCTGACCCATATGGCCATTCTTATGATCTTGTTTACGTCCCGTTAAGCCATAATGCAGCTGGCCAGGGACAATGCTGGATTCGGCAGAGCTGTTACTTTCAGCATGTCCATAAACTCCTACCACCTCCGCAGACTCTGCGTGGAGTCACCTGCATTGAATAGACATGAGCAAGCACTTGAAAAAAAGGCAACTACCTGTTTCCGAAACTGGCGTTCTTCGAGATGTTGCTCATGCCCATTCAGCATAGTTTCTATATAGCATGGCATGGACATGCCACTTGGAGTGCAGGAGTCAGTGCCTACGGATACCACTGAGGGAAAACTTCCAGCATCAGTGCACGTGTGAGCATACATACCTATGTTGAATGGACATGACGAACACATCTCGAAGAACACCAGATACGGAAACAGGTCGTTGGGTGTATGTTTCTGTATATTTTTTACAGTAGCTTAAAATCAGGATTAAAAAACAGGCATGTACGGATGAGCTGAAATAAAGTTGCTGCTCTTTCTAGAGATCTCAGAATGACCAAAAAGATCCAGTGTACTTCGAACCTGAAAGAAAGGTACAAGAATATGCCTACATCAGCCAGGACTCCCAAGGGAAAGACCACCAAAATTATCAGGAAAGTCCAAACATAGAGCACAGAAAGCCAAAACAGGAAATGCAGGTGAAGGGTTTTTTTCTTCAATACTAGATAATCTATTTGAGGTTGAGATGAGAAACTATTCCTTAATCTGCTTGCTGCTGACAGTAAGATTGAGGCAGTTTCAAAAAACATGTGGGAAACTTGTTAATTTGTAGTGAGGGTATGAGATGAGATAAGACCTAGACAGGAACTCCCCAAAGGAATCAAGTGTTGGTGATAGTTTTAATACAGCAGTTTTGAGTTGTGTAAACTCTAAATGGAGTTCAAGTGATGTTTGTAAAGGTTGTTAACTTTATACTTATTGTTAGAAAGGTCCTAGAATAGGAAGTTTAGGCAATGAAATTTTGCAGACTTCTGGATGACAAGGTGAACTAGTGTTAGTAAAAAAGAATACTCCTAAGCAAATCATTATTAATTTATTAGCAGGGCTCGACAAATAATGTAATCTACTCGCCCGTGGCAAGTAGATTACGACCCGGAAGAGCCGGCGCAGAGCGATCTGCGCATGCGCAGAACGGCGTGAAACTGCGCGGCTGGCGAGCGGGGCTCACCGCTGCTTGGCAAGCCCTGCTTATTAGCATACATTTTGTTTAATTGTAAGCAAATTAAACCAGATTCTATGCATCAGAGTATTCAGCTCCTCCATGTAAAGGAGCAAACCGCACACATGCTAAAATTCCCCACTTTAAGACAAAGAATGGTATTGCAGCAGTGCTGCTAGTGTGTACTGTTAAAAGCTTCCAGACTTAGATGTGCAATGGTAGTTAAGTACAGTAGAGTCCATTTAATAACTACTGGGTTCCCAGTTAAAAGTTGGCATGTATCTGAAAGTTGCTAGTAAGTGGAAGATAAGTTTATGGGGCTGCAGCCAGGGAAGGATGCACTGGGACATGGTGAAACTAAGCTCCCAGTGCCAGGCCAGGGTGAAGCCCAGAGTAGCAGCATTCAGCCTCCCCCATGCCCCTGCTCCTTGTGGAAAGCCTTGCACCCAAACTGCAGCAGCCCTCCTAGCTGCTGTCCTGTCTGCAGCCTCCTCTCCCCACTGCAGGCAGGTGTGCAGGGCTGTAGCCAGGGAAGGCGTGTCAAAAAAATCATAAGTGACATGCCAGTTGCTAAATCCAAGTCCCATTAATATTTGTTTCCCATCCAAATGTTGCTATTACCTGGAAATTGTTAATATTAGGGTTGCTCTTGGCTTATGATGGTTAGAATGGATACTGCTTAACTGAACCTCTGCTGAGGCTAAATAAGAGGGGGCTGCAGTTATTTAGAAAATGGCAAGATGGACAAAGATAAGGAGATATGAATTCCTCTGTCCTTTATTAAATGGCTTCTTCACATAGTCTTATAGACAATCAACTTGAGCTAGTTGCTTTCTTTAAAAGAAAATGCTGTTTCTTTTGGATTACTTTCCAGGATGGTGGAAGGCCTCCTCTGGAGATGCCATACCTAGAGCCAGTGTCTGTGAGCTCAGACGTCTGGGATGAAAATTGGTTCCCTCTGCAAACCTTAAAGGAGCATATTGGCATTGGCCAAGATTCCTTGCATTTGGACACAGTGGCATCGTCCAGCCAGACCTCCAGCCATGAAGGAGGGAGTCCGAGCCTGCAAAGCAAAGAGCAACAGGTTATCTGTCATCTTTTTGCGGAGGGAGGAAGGGAAATGGACAAATGTCCTCTTGGTGATATTATCCCCAAGGGATTTAAATATTTTATGCATGATGCAGAATAGGTTACGTATGCCAATTAGTGGAGAAATCTGACCAGTAAGCTAAAGCAGATGTATACGGAATGGGATACTCCATTTTGTCTAGT